CAAGAACGAGGCAAGTGCGGACTTACCTCGTTCTTGCACCAATCTGCTTAGGGGGGCAAGTCCAAAAATCTCAGTTTATTTAACTAACAATGCACTTACGTACGTCGTTTTTACACCAATCGATCGGGCTTGGAACGTTGCATATAATGATGTTAAAACATCATTTTCGCCAAAATGTGGACTTGCCTCTTTCTTGCAGCAATGTCTTCAATTGCTTCTATAGTAAACATAAAATATAGTGCAGAATTCACCAATTGCATTCATCAGGTAGGAATAGATAAATTTTATGCAATGTACTGGACTCCAGAGCAGGTGTTTATGTTTAAGCAATTTATTAGAACTAATAAGATAGGTAGTATTAGTATCGATGCTACAGGATCTATAATAAAACCGCTTGTAAAACCGGATGGATAAAAAAATGTGATATTTCTTTATCAGGCTGTTACGGTGCTAAACGGAAAAATACTACCTATATTTCAACTGATATCCGAGAAGCACGATACTAATAATGTTAACATATTGGATGAGGGAGTGGCTACGTTCTGGAGTGCCGTGTCCTAAAGAGGTAGTAATAGATTATTCAATGGCATTTCTTAATGCTGTTTCTCTCTCGTTTAATAATGTCGACTTACGAACATACGTTAATAATTGTATGAAAATATTATTATCACCAACGTATAAAAACTCAGTGAGTTGCATAATTCGTATCGACATCGCGCATCTCATCAAATTAGTATCTCGATGGCCGTGTTTCGCTTCTAAACCAGCCATTATTAAAGATTTTTTCGTTCGGTGTGTAGGTCTTTTATCAAAATGCACTACACTTAATGATTTTAAACGGGTCTGTACAGATGTACTGTCTGTATCTTTTTCAAATTTAGAAGACATAGAGAACATCGACGACCATTGTTATAGTGCACAACGTAGACTTTTTCAAAGCATAAAAACATATTCTGAAATAACTGATGTTTCCTGTGATTTATTGGTTACATTTTCAGATTCAGAGGACGATGCCAATATTATAATTAAAAGCGAAATTGACAAATTTTTAGACGATATAGAGAACGACAGTAAAAAAGAGGAAACGGGAATTCGCCCTAATCCTTATTTTTGTCCGGACTTTGGGCATCGTCTTCTAAAGTTATGTAAACATTTCGTATTATGGACTCAAATTATGTCTGCATCGCAAGAAAATATTTCTGGTCTTTACACAGACAAAGTAAATTTAATTGCGACTTCCGCCCGTAGTGAAGAGTATTTCCGCGAAGTCAAAAATTTAATATTTAAGGATGTAAAATTAAATAGAATTGATAAGTTTCTTGTGGTACACTTGAGATCATTGTTTGGTACAATGAAACTTTTAAATGCACCAAACAGTTTTTTATCACAGCTTAATGTTACTACAGCATATAACCGTACAAATTCAACACATATTGATAAACAGACATCTTTAGATAACAACAATTTGAATGTTACTACGAACAATATGACTGATTGCAATAACGCATGCAAAAAAGAAGAAAATGATCAGATTCTATTACAAGATAATTGTGCAAATTCATTTCTAAATGAAACAGAACCGTGGAAAGGCCACAATAAAATAAAAAGACCACGAGGGAAATATGTAACACCATGCCCGGAAAAATCGAAAATCTACATAAACGACCTAAATTTAACAAGAGTTTCAGTTGCTACAAGGATATCGTCCATGTAGACCGTTACGTCTCCTTGTCTAATTAACTTAGAAAAGATATTATCAATGAACCTCTGAAATGTGGATGGAGCTGTTTTTAATCCAAAAGGCATTTTAACCCATTCGAATTGCCCCAACGGGGTAACAAATGACGTATACTTAATGGACTCTTTCGCAACACTAATGTGGTAAAAACCGTCCTTTAGATCTAAGGTGCTAAAATAACTTTTGTTATTTAATGCTTCTAAGTGGTCTTCAATAATAGGAAGAGGATAGTTATCGCGAGCAGTCACCTTGTTTAAAACTCTATAATCCACGCACATTCGCGGTTCGCCGTTTTTCTTTGTTACGATCACAATGGGTGACGCGTATTCAGAGGTACTGGATTGTATTATTCCCTTGTTCGATAAGCAATCTAATATTATTTTCAACTTACCCTTTTCCGTATAAGACAGCCTACGAGGGGTACAATGAAACGGTTGATTATCCTTGAGAGCCAACTTCAGCTCCACCCTAGTTTCCGGTTCTGCTGGCCTCCTCGGTTGTACATAGGTTTCAAGAAACAGCCTCTTTAGCTTCTGCTGGGCATCGACTGCTATAGTTGGATTAATAATTAATGAATCAGTTAAATCGTTCTCAGATCGATCGATATCTATATTCATGATTTCGCGAATTGAATCTGATTCTTGACAGGTGGTGAGTGCTAAACCGAACGCTCGCAAAACATCTCTACCTAAGATAGCGGAAGTTAACATGGTGTTTTCTGGTACGGTATAAATGACAATGTTATCTTGCGTAATACCGTTCAACGTTACTCTGGCAGTTAGTTTACCTCTAATATTAAGCTTTGTACGATTTATCCCATAAAAAGATTCGACAAAATTATCTACAGGTTTTGTTACCTCATTATTTATGAAACGTTCTTTAACAATACTTATCGCACTGCCGGTATCCAACAAGGTGTCTAAGCAAAGTACTCGATGTAACATAGGGTTCTTTACTTCGAATGTAACGATTTTAAGAAATTCGTCTTCTACCAAAGGGTCCTTGTAAATATTGTTGACTTCAGGGCCCTTTTCTTTCTTCTTCTCCTTCTTTGGGCATGTCTTCGAAATGTGACCTGCTTCTCCGCAACGGAAACACGTTCCCTTTTCTTTCTTGGGTTCTCTACAGATCTTCGATGATTGTCCCAACTTATTGCAGTTGAAACAGCGAATTACCTTCCCCGACTGAGTATCCTTGTCCGACAGCCTTTCCGATGTGGCCTTTGAGCTAGCCTGACTGTTTAGCTTCTTATTTGAATTTGTCTCACGCTTCAGGTCATCCTTTGAGTCGCTCTGAATGCTGATCTTCTTGAAAGCTTCCAACAACGCTGACACAGAAGTGAAGCTCTGTATTCGGGCCTGGTTTCGCAAAACTGGGTCTGCTATGCCATCTATTACGTATTCCAGTATATCCTCTTCTGCTACTGGCACTTGATTTCCCAAAATCAATTTATCGTAGTGTACTCGTTGAAGTTCTCATTTGAGCGCCATGTCCGTTGTTCAAATTTCTTCCTACGCTCTAATTTACTCGGGCGATGATCGAAAGCTGTCTGCATTTCCTGCAGCAACTGGTCCATACTCATTTCAAGATATTCCGCTTTAGAGTGGAACCATTGTAGGGCCCTTCCCTTCAATCTGGAACTCATAAGCAATTTGGTCATATTGTCGTCAAGCTCGTAGGTTCGGCGAAGCAGACGAACTTGCTTTTCCCATTCAGCGAAATAAAAATCTATGCCGTTAAATTCTCCTAACAGCTCACTTATAGCCTTGATGTGGACACTCGGCCTTGCATTTGTGGAACTATCACTACGTCGTGGCGAATTCCTTAACAGCTCGGCTTCCCGATGGGTCAATTCCAATTCTCGTTGCATCAGCTCTCTTTCTCGGCACATGAACTCGATTTCCATACGTAACCTGTTCTGCGATGATTCCTGTTCCTCAGCATTTTCCTGTTGGCCAGTTTTTCCCACAGCTCCTTCGTCGGTGTTCTCATCTTGCGAGTCCTCAGGATCCTCTGGCACGGCCGTCCAACTTCTTGAAGGATCAGCACTCATTAACCTCGCGATGAGCTCGTTCTTTGATCCCGTGGTCACGCGGCTTCTCTCCTGTAGCTTTGCCTTTAATTCGGCCACCGAAAACTTGGCAGGATCTTTCGACATTATGCGGTTAGTTCAACAACACTTGAATTCTCTCTCCTGTAGTCCTGGTTACGCACGTTACATTTCGCGATTGTTTCGACTCGTCGCGAACGGTCTCGAAACTTCTTTGTGTTTCAACAGGATTCAATATGGCGGGCGTCCCAGAAGACACGCGACAATCTCACGCTGCCTTCGTTACCGTTGTGGCAGGCAATCACTGCCATCAATCGCGACCACCAGGCGCACAGCTCGATACACAACATGCGAAGCAGTGTTAATGTCCTCGACTCGTGCGTTATATCTTACACCGCTCGCAGTATATGCACAGACGAGACACGACGTAGGCGAGTTACGTTGGCGACGAGACACACTTTTCCAGATTCCCTGCACTCGTTCCTGCTTAGGTTCCCTGGTTGAATCCCCCGGTTGAATCCCCCGGTTGTATCCCACTTCTGATATTGTAAGGAAATAGCCGGGATGGGCAAGGGGATTACTAGCCTCAGTATACAGCCTTAGAAAAGAACAAATCTATATTTGTGCAGCCAGGACACATCTGTGCTCTTGCCGTGATCGATATCGACTGACTGTCTTGTGACGCGCCTCTCGCGGCACGGTGCGTTATGAGAGGAACTAACTCAGCCGCTACAATACCAACACGCAATTTTAATCTAAGATAATCTTTCGTTTATTTGCAATATTACTATAAAATAACACAATATATAGTTTGTAAAGATAAGTGCCCAACCAATTTTAATAATATTTTTAGTATTTCTATCGTACTTAATGAGAAAACCGTTTCACAAGGTTTTCAGGTTATGCATTTACAAAGTCACTTAAGAAATATAACAATATAATAAATTCTCACATCGAGGATATTAATACTCTATCTGTTTTGCAAAAGTATATTCTCTACAAAAATATCTTCTCTACAAAACTATCTTCTCCACAAAAGTAATGATACCAACAAATTGCGCCAAATATAACAACGGATATTTATACAAACTAGTTGCTTTAGTAATAGTTTTTGATTAAAAATGTTATATTTCTTAAAAAATCAAACTAAAGATTTTATTGGAAAAAATAATGGAGTTAATAATAAAACACCGATGAAAAGAATAGCAACTGTTTAGAAATTTAGAAACTCTGTACCTATTCAAGCGAATTAAGGCCTGTGTCCATGACGCTAGTACTTGGTCCAAGTTCTAGTTTTGAGAATTGCGTAGCCAATCAACTTACAGCTTTTGTGGGACAGCTACATTGATTGGCTACATATTTCGCGGAAATAGAACTTGGACCAAGTACTAACGTCATGGACACAGG